GTTTTCTATGGCTGCTGCTACAGTATTTGAATATTTTCAGACCACTGCGAATAAAATTTGTTTTATCCTGACTTTGCAGACCGCGGCAATGTATCCGGGTCCGAAATACAGTTAACAGCAACTGGCGCGACTTAAAGAAAACGAACAGCAACCGGCGTGATTAAAGGTAAATTGACTGCAACCGGTACGATCAAATGGCAATTCACCACGACTGGCGCAACGAAAGAAAAGTTTACCGAAAAAAAACTATTCGCGACAACCGTGACCAAAAAAAAGGTTAACCTTGACGGCTAAGATTCAATCCATCTAACACTGAATTTATTGTGTTTGTTAGAAACAAAAAAAAACACAATTCAAAACTGGTGATCACAAAAAAAACAATTTAAAACGAGTGTTAAGGCATCCCTAAGTACAATCAACTAACATATTGAAAAGAGGTTACATTAAAATTTTTAAAACATGACATATGGCATCACAACCATCTACCCATTCCGGGAAACTTTACCATCCAAATTAAACCAATGCACATTGATTTACTAGTACTCAACTATTTACAAAACTTTGACGACAATTTTGAGTACAAAATCAGTAACTCAAATCATTGCTCTGGAAAAAAAAAACATGTGATCCTGGCCGTTGAAGCAAACAAATTATCCAAATTTCAAACTTTCACAAAAAAGAAAATCGAACATGAAACTATATCTGTTCATTTTTTGATCATAGATCATAATTAAACCTTCAGAATTTTTGAAGGTCAAAAACTTGCTTTTCTTGCTATTAAAGCTGGCGCAATTTTTTGCCAGCTTTAGACAATATGCAAACCAGCAATAACCAGCAAAAGCCAATAAGCAATCTACTTTTCACCTGCAAAAGCCAATATGCAAAAAAAAAAAGAGAAAAATTATTCTATTGAATCATGATCACCAACTAACTGAGCAACTCTCAGCATTTATAGAAATGCCTTCATAATTGAAATAGATTTGATTCCCTTCATAGAATAAGTTGAAACATTTCATAACATGAATAGCTTAAGACAGTTTTTTGCTGACTGATTGCCCTCTGAAAAAACTTAAAAGTGTCCTTGCTTGATCAGCTTGCATAAAACAATTCAGCTTTTCAAAATGATTAAGCTCTATCAAACCAATTGAATTGATTCAGTTTCATTGCTTGAAAGGCTTAAACATAATAATTTTTCACCATCTGATTCGCTTTTTGAAATACCTACAACTTTTTCTAGAGTTTCATAGCTTGAACAGCTTGCTTAGAAAAACTTTAATTTTTTCGCGAGCCGTTTCAGAAAAGTTGTCTTGATCAAAAAAATGATTTGTTGAGGATCGATTCGTTCTATGAATTAATTTGAATTTGTTCAAATTTTTGTCGTTTGAAAGGATTGAAAAAACACTAACTTTTCGCCATCCAATTTGCGTCGTTTCCAAGCTTATAAAGCATGCATAAAAAAATGTTTGAACACCAATTTGTTTTATGAAAACCCGTGAAAGAACTTTCAGGGCTCTAACTTAGGTTTTTCGCGAACCAACTCAGTCTATATAATAACTTGGAAATGTTTCATTTGTTTCATGGCTTAAAAAAGCTTGTATAGTAAAACTTTAAGTTTTTTCGAACTGATTTGCTCTATGAAAAAACTGGAATTTTTACAAAGTTTCTTTTTTTTAATAGCTTGAATAGAAAAATTTAAGCTCCTCGCGAACTGATTCGGTTTTTGAATTATCTTGAAATATTTCGGTTGAATAGCTCTAACAGCTTGCTTAGATAAACTTACTTTTTTGCGAACCAAATCAGTCTAAGACAAACTTGAAAATGTTCAATGTTTAATGGCTGATGTAGCTTGCATAGAAAAAAAATCATTTTTTGCAAACTTATTCGGTCTATGAAACAACCAAAAATTCAAACAACAAAACTTGTTTGGTTTTCCGCGGCTTTTTTTTGTTTTTTTGTCAGACCGTCGCAACCAAAACTTGGTTTTCTATGGCTGCTGCTACAGTATTTGAATATTTTCAGACCGCTGCGAATAAAATTTGTTTTATCCTGACTTTGCAGACCGCGGCATTGTATCCGCGTCTGAAATAGAGTTAACAGCCACTGGCACGACTTAAACAAAACGAACAGCGACCGGCGTGATTAAAGGTAAATTGACAAATTGACTGCAACCGGTACGATCAAATGGCAATTCACCACGACTGGCGCAACGAAAGAAAAAATAACCAAAAAAAAAGCTATTCGCGACAACCGTGACCAAAAAAAAGGTTAACCTTGACGGCTAAGATTCAATCCATCTAATAATGAATTTATAGTGTTTGTTAGAAACAAAAAAAAACACAATTCAAAACTGGTGATCACAAAAAAGGAATTTAAAACGAGTTATAAGGCATCCCTAAGGACAATCAACTAACATATTGAAAAGAGGTTACATTAAAAATTTGAAAACATGACATATGGCATCAAAATCATCTACCCATTCCGGGAAACTTTACCATCAAAATTAAACAAATTCACATTGATTGACTAGTACTCAACTATTTACAAAACTTTGACGACAAATTTGAGTACAAAATCAGTAACTCAAATCATTGCTCTGGAAAAAAAACATATGATCCGGGCCGTTGAAGCAAGCAAATTATCCAAATTTCAAACTTTCACAAAAAATAAAATCGAACATGAGTTTATATATGTTCAATTTTTGATCATAGATCATAATTAAACCTTCAGAATTTTTGAAGGTCAAAAACCTGCTTTTCTCGCTATTAAAGCTGGCTCAATTTTTTGCCAGCTTTAGACAATATGCAAACCAGCAATAACCAGCAAAAGCCAATAAGCAAACTACTTTTCACCTGCAAAAACCAATATGCAAAAAAATGAGAAAAATTATTCTATTGAATCATGATCACCAACTAACTGAGCAACTCTCAGCATTTATAGAAATGCCTTCATAATTGAAATAGATTCGATTCCCTTCATAGAATAAGTTGAAACATTTCATAACATGAATAGCTTAAGACACTTTTTTGCTGACGATTGCTCTCTGAAAAAACTTAAAAGTGTCCTTGCTTGATCAGCTTGCATAAAACAATTCAGCTTTTCAAAATGATTAAGCTCTATCAAACCAATTGAATTGTTTCAGTTTCATTGCTTGAAAGGCTTCAACATAATAATTTTTCACCATCTGATTCGCTTTTTGAAATACCTAGAACTTTTTCTAGAGTTTCATAGCTTGAACAGCTTGCTTAGAAAAACTTTAATTTTTTTGCGAGCCGTTTCAGAAGAGTTGTCTTAATCCAAAAATGGTTTTTTGTTGATCGATTCGTTCTATGAATTAATCTGAAACTTTTCAATTGTTTTTCGTTTGAAAGGATTGAAAAAAACTAACTTTTCGCCATCCAATTTGCGTCGTTTCCAAACTTATAAAGCTTGCATACAAAAATGTTTGAACACCGATTTGTTTTATGAAAACTCGTGAAAGATATTTCATGGCTCTAATAGAAAAACTTAGGTTTTTCGCGAACCAAATCAGTCTATACAATAACTTGGAAATGTTTCATTGTTTCATGGCTTAAAAAAGCTTGTATAGTAAAACTTTAAGTTTTTTCGAACTGATTCGCTCTATGAGAAAACTGGAATTTTTACAAAGTTTCTTTGCTTTAATAGCTTAAATAGAAATATTTAAGCTCCTCGCGAACTGATTCGGTTTTGAATTATCTTGAAATATTTCGGTTGAATAGCTCCCATATGCAAAACATAAATTAGTGACTTTTCTGATGTTTGATAAAAAGAAAAAAAAAATTTTCAAGTTCATTGGCACAGTAGAAATTGAAATATTACAAAATCAATAGTTACAGTTAAGGCACAATGACGAGATTTAAGAAAAATAAATTTATTTCCAAGGTAGTTTTTTGAAGAACAGCTGGTTTGGGTCCCTCTTAAATTGGTTCGGAGAAGTTGATTTGTACTTTTTTATGGGTAAATTTCTATGCTTGCTGAGAGTTGCTCAGCTAATTGGTGATCATGATTCAATAGAATAATTTTTCTCATTTTTTTTGCATATGGCTTTTGCAGGTGAAAAGTTTGCTTATTGGCTTTTGCTGGTTATTGCTGGTTTGCATATTGGCTGAAGCTGGCAAAAAATTGAGCCAGCTTTACCAGCACAAAAAGCAGGTTTTTGACCTTAAAAATTCTGAAGGTATAATTATGATCTTTGATCAAAAAGAAAATTTGAACAATCGTAGTTTCATGTTCGATTTTCATTTTTGCGAAGGTGTGAAATTTGGATCAGTTTTTTGTTTCAACGGCCCGGATCATTCATTTTTTTTCTAGAGCCTTGATTAGAGTTACTGATAACGTACTCAAAATCTTCATCTGATTTTTGTAAATGGTTGGGTTTTAGACAATCAATGCGCATTGGTTTAATTTGGATGCTAAAATTTCCCGGAATGTGTAGATGGTTTTGATGCTCTAGTTGGTTGTCCTTAGGGACGCCTTAACACGCGTCTTAAATTCCTTTTTTGTGATCACCAGTTTTGAATTGTGCTTTTTTTGTTTTTAACAAACACATCAAATTCGGTATTAAATGGATTGAATCTTAGCCGTCAAGACAAACCTCTTTTGGTCACGGTGGTCGCGAATAGCTTTTTTTCGGTCGCACCGATTACGGTTAATTTTTCTTTCGTCGCGCCAATCGTGGTGAATTGCCGTTTGATCGTACCGGTTGCAGTTAACTTACTTTTAATCACGCCGGTCGCTATTCGTTTTCTTTTGGTCGCGCCAGTTGCTGTTAACTGTATTTCGGTTGCGCCGGACGCGGATACATTGCCGCGGTCTGCAAAGTCAGAATAAAACAAATTTTATTCGCAACGGTTTGAAAATATCCAAATACTGTAGCAGCAGCCCAAAAAACCAAGATTTGGTCGCAACGGTCTCATAAAAAAACCACAAAAGCCGCGGAAAATCAAACATGTTTAGTTGTTTTACTTTTAAAGCTTTTTCAGGTTCGGATAATTGTTACGAAAAGCAAAGTGGAGGAGTGCATTTATCGCTATCCACCTCTGTGATAATAAATTCGGTGTATGACAGGAATTTAGACGGTAAGCAAATCAGATGGCCTCAATGAACCGGAATTTTTATTCAAAACTTTTTTTTGGATAAAATGCCAAGTGCTACCAAAATTTTAAGGCTTAGAAAAAAATTCATAAATACCAGATGAGTATATAATCCTATTGCATATCAAAAGATTTTTATAAACTAGTTATAAGACAATAATTCGAATTTTATTAAGCGATTTTGAAATGACCAATGTGAAACATTGGTTTGCAATAAAAAAAAAGCTCAAACGAACATAAACTGTAGTCATCACACAAAATTCAAACACGATAACAAAACAATTACATCTAAATTCCCATAACTCTATTGTTTCAAGCTCATTTTTTTGGTCACGTCTAACTTACTTGTCGTCTAATTTCCTATGCCCGACATTGGTAACTCAACAGCCTCAACAGCGAAAACTCTTTCATATGCTCTGTTCACGAACTGAACATTTATGTTTTTGCAACCCAAGGACCAATCAGCTCAAAAATTGCAGAATGAAGGAAATAAAAACATTGTTTGGAAGAACGGTTGTGTTTTAGAAGAGAATGAAAAAAATAGAAAAGCTAGAATAAGTTGGCATTTTTCCCATTATGTGCAATAATGTGCAATTGCTCATAATGCGCTCATAGCTTTGCTCATAATATGCAATTGATGCACAAATTGATAGGCAAATTAGTTTTGTAAAAGTCCAATGAGTCTGCACGCCGAATTGAATATCGATCGAATATTGTGAGCAAAAAATGTGAGCACTGGTTTTCCAATCAATTCCCTTCCCTCTTAATTCATAAAATTTATCAATTTAAATAGTTTGTACTTGTTCTGATCAAGCTATCCAAGCAATGAAACTTTAAACAGTTTCAGGTTAAGCCATATCTTAAATTGGTTTGAAAAATTTTAAGTTTCCAAGAACGTATCGGTTCGCAAAAATTGAAGTTTTTCTAAGCAAGCTATTCAAGCCTTGAAATTTTGAAACATTTCAAAAAGTTTAATGAAACAAATCGGGTGGCAAAACTTAAGGTTTTTTTAGAAAGCTTTTTGAACGATGATACATTAAAATATTTCAAGTAGTTTCATAGAGCGAATCAGATCTTAGTAAGCTATTATTACAAAAAAGTTAACCTTGACGGCTAAGACTCAATTCAATTAATACTGAATTTATTGTGTTTGTTAAAAACAAAAAAAGCACATTTCAAAACTGGTGATCTCAAAAATAAGTTTATGTAAAATGAGTGTTAAGGCGTCCTTAAGGACAACCAACTATCATATTAAAATGAGAATAGATTAAAACTTTGAAAACATGACTTAGGGCATCAGAACCATCTAACATTCCAGGAAATTGTACAATCCAAAACAAAACCAATGCGCACTGATTGTCTAGGACTCAACCATTCACAAAATTCGGATCACGATTTTGAGTACAATACCAGCAACTCTTTTTGTTGCTCTGAAAAAAAAACAGTTGATCCGGGCCGTTGAAACAAACAAATGATCCAATATTCAAACTTTCGCAAAATTGATTATCGAACATGAAACTATATCTGTTCAAAATTTTTTTTGATAATAGGTCATAATTATAGCTTCAGAAATTTTTAAAAAGTCATAAACCTGCTTTTCTTGCATGATGTAAAGCTGGCTCAATTTTTCTCCAGCTTTAGCCAATATGCAATAACCAGCAAAAACGAATTTGCAAACTTTTCATCTGCAATAGCCAATATGCAAAAACAAATGAGAACAATTATTCTAATGAATCATGATCACCAAATAATTGAGCAACTTTTTGCAAACAAAAAATATTACCCATACAAAAAGTACGAAACAGTTTTTCTGAATCAACGTAAATGGGACCCAAACCAACTGTTCTACAAAAAGCTACCTTGGAAATCATTTTGATTTTCTTAAATCACGTCTTTGTGCCTCAATTGTAACTATTGTTTTTGTAATATTTCAATTTCTATTTGGTCAATGAACTTGAAAAAAAATGAGTATTCTTTTTGTCAAAAATCAGATAATTCACTGCTTATATATATATATATATATATATATATATGTTTGTGTGTGTGTGTGTGCGTGTGTGTGTGTGTGTAATTATGTGCATACAACTAAAAAAAATCATAAAGTTAAATAAAAACAAAAAAAAAACTTTTTTTTTTTCATATATATTTTGTCATATATTTGTCATATATTGTCGCAATTTTTTGAATTCTCAAATCTGATTGGCTGATGCGATTTTCCTTTATTCGGTTCTTCCATTGTGACAGATACCATTAATCAGCTAGTTATATTCTTTATTAGGCCCTTCATTCTGTCTGCTTAACGAGCCTGTGAAGAACATAGAGGCTGCTTACTGTGGCGACTACATAGTCAACCAGGCCTCGGAGGAGTGCGACTGTGGGGATCCAGAGACATGCGAGGATCCCTGTTGCAACTCCAGGAGATGCACGTTAAAACAGGGGGCTCTCTGCTCCACAATGAGCCTGTGCTGTGATCAGGTGGGGGAGTTTTCAAACTGTTTCTTCCACTTTATACAAAAATTTTACATTCTAAACATGTTTTTTTTCAAAAAAACTTGCAGACATAAGACGACCTTTTGTATATGAACTCAAAGGCTTAACTGGCCTGAAAAAATATGCAAAATAACATCACGTTGTATGTTCAGGGCATGTCGAGATAGAATTTCGGGATGTTTCGAGCCAATGTTCAAGGGCTAGTCTATATGCAACCAAACCTCAAGAAAGGCCACAGACTTGAACTTAGTATTTGTTTCTATTCAAATTGTATTGAACTCGTTGTACAGAAACCTTCGCAATCTTTTTTTAAACTTATAATTGCAATCACTTTTTTAAACTATAGCTGTGTGGTCTGAGATCGGAAGGCGAAGTTTGCAGAGGAGTTCGCAGTTCTTGTGACGTTGCAGAGTACTGCGATGGACTGAGCTCGGAATGTCCGACTGACGAATTCGTCCGAAGTGGATCCGAATGTGACGTCGTCCCAGGAAGTGTCGGACATTGTTTCTTCGGCGAATGCATTTCCGAAAGGCAACAGTGCAACCGGTTATGAATTAACTATTCAAAGACAAAAAAACATCCAAAGATCAGATCAAAAACAACAGTTTTATGCTGAATTAACAATTGAAGCGTTTTTCAGCTAGCTTGTTTCGAAAATGATAGAAAATTTGAAACTTTTATTTCGGATTGGATTTTCAAGACTATTTGGTAAATAAGTAGACCACTAGTAACTAGAACTTTGTGGAAACAAACGATTGGCAATTTGAATTACTGGAAATTGTTCTGAGGTTGCTTTTTATACAAACTTAGATTTAGTACTTAACAGTGCAGTGCAGAGGTTTTTTTATTTAAAGGTTTTATTTAATCATTTAAAGATTTTTTTCTAATTTTATAAAAATAAAGCGCCACAGGTAATTTTTCTGGAATAAGACCGCTTCTCAGAATATTCGTGAAAACTTTGGCTGTTTTTATTTTGGGTTTGAAAAAGGCTTTCGAAATTGTGTTTTGTTTTTTCCACTCCATTAAAAAATTTTTTTGATGTTTTCAAGTCCACCAGTTTTTATGACTTTTGTAAATTTGCGAGAAACTTTTTTTCAAGAACCAGGGCCAGGGTTTATTGTGTTCACAAGTGTTCACAAAGGTAAACAAGTCTATTGTACTATCTATTTTCAGTTTTTTTTTTTAAAATCATCAATTATTTATTTCGAGCTAGCCCAAAAATTGAATTATATGGGCTAGTCAAAAAAAGTTTTGCCAATGTTACAAAAAAGATTATTAACTTGAATATCATGAAAAAAACTTGATGTAAAAATTACTCGATTATATATGTGTAATTTATATACTTCTTTCGAATGAATTCAGTTCCTATATTTGAAATACTCAAAATTTGTCAATATTTTTTTAACCAAAAATTATTTGAGCCGGGTTAATGGGCAGTCGTGGTTTTTCTCTGATACGAGCAGTCTTGTTGCTCCGACTTTCGAAAAAAATGACGGAACATTTGTGATCGGGTGATTTTTATGCCAGACATTTGACTGACATTTTGAAAGATATTTTGAAAAAGCATTCAAAAGGTACTGCTGCCCTGAGCTCAAACTTCGAAAGACAGGTCACTTAAAATCATATTTCGTAAAGTTATGGGGTTTAAGAGATTGCAAACTTAGCCAATTTGAGATAATCAACGCGCGATATTTTTCGTGCTATTAACGCGTGAGCTGAGATTTAATCCGTCTAAGAAATCGTTCCACATCGGATTCAGGCATGGTTTTTGGTCGATTTTCAGTTTTTTTTTACAAAAAACTCATCAATTATTTATTTCGAATTACTCCATAAAAACTAAAACGCAATCTAATCATTCAGGGTTTCACCCTGATGCAAGCAGTCTTGTTGCATATAGCTAGGCTCTGTTTGGTATCTCGTTTGGTAAGTTTGCTTCTAGTGAAAATAACCTTTCGTTAATGAGAGTCATTAGATTATTTTTAGGATTTTGTTTTCCAAGCTTTTGATTTCAAGCTTTGTATACGTTGCTTATTGCTTCAAAAAACGTTTTAAAAATCACACTGGGCATAAACTAGTTAGGAAGTCTTTCATAATCTAGCAAAATATGAAACTTTTTCAGTTTTTTTGTGATCTAATACACTTTAAAATCGATTTAATAAAAAAGTTGCGTTTCTATTTAAATATCATTCGGTATCCCTAAGTCTCTGGTACTTATTATGCACATCAAATTTTTCACCTCTAATCTCTTTTTCCATCTTCTTTTTTACAGCTTACCACTTCGTCATTAGCTTGCTGGATGACGTGCCGTGTTGAATCACCATATCTAAATTCATCAGGAGCGATTCCATTTTATCCATAGTCCACAATAATTACCATTCTATAAGAAAACTGAAATGTGAAAACAAACTGGAAATTGAGCAACTTGGGAGTAGTTTAGAGTAATTTGCTTTCAAGTTTCCGTTTAAAAGGTATACAGGAACCTTTGGGATATAGTTAAATTGTAGAAAGTCGAGAATTTAGCAATCAAGGAGTTTCTTAAGCAATATCGCAAGACTTTTCTTGAACTTAAATGATTATCTAATGTTTCATTCAATGGCTTTCAGATAGTTGAAGGAGTTTTTTTTAGCAATTTAAAGCGCTCAAAGGATCAGACAGAGTTTCAGCTTCATTTTGAATTCTCGGCGGAAGTTCTGGGCATTTTTCATTTGAGCGTTTTTCAAAAACTAATTTGTTCCGTCGAGAAGTGTCAATCAGCATATTTTTCTTACGTCAAAACCGCTGAATTTTTCACTTGGAGGCGGCGGTGAAGTGCATACGAAAGGTCGGAAGTTCGAGGCCCACCATGATCCGTGCTCTTTGCAACATTACCCAGCCCAAAAAAAAACAAAAAAAAAATGTCTAAAAAGTGTGGGCGATTTTCCTACTGACATAATATCTGTATTGATTTTTGTTGCTGAATGCGTTTTAGGAAAATGAGCCGACTGTCCTACGAGGAAGCAGTAGAGTGGCACAATAGCACACTGGAGGCTTGTTGGGATCTGAATCTGGGAGGAACAGAGGCTGCCAACTGTGGAAGGGACTACGCTGGAACAACTGGAGGAGAGTATCTGCAATGCAATGAAACCAATAAACGGTAAAAGACGAGGGATCCTCCTAAATAAAAAATAAACCGAATGTCTGAAAATTATACCCGAGTGCAAAAAGCAAAACTATGAGTGAACAATCAGCCGTCTCCAAGCACCCACCGGACTCTCCGCCTCGGGAATTTTAACCCATTGCCATTTAAGAGTCTACTTTTTGTATTACTTTACGGCTTCATTTTTGAAGGAACGCGCTTCGTTTATTTGCCTAATGTGAAACCCTCACTTTAAGATAATTTTGGTTTCATAGGTGCTCCTAGAAAAAATGGGCGTCGTAAAATTATAGCAAAAGGAGATGGTTTTGCTGCTGAAAAATTCGAGCTCTTGAGTGGAGAAAGACTGCTGATCAAAACACGGGTGGTTTTAAATGGGAGAACGGGGGGGGTGAGATAGATATTTGATATCTTTGGCATTATTTTACTGTATGTGAGAATGAAGACTGATTCTTGTCGTTGACTATTGCACATACTTGCAGGTGTGGGAACTTGCAGTGCTCTTCATCACATTCAATATTTGATGAATTTGACTACATAGAGGCCCAATATGGACCAGACTATGATTACCTTGTCAACAACTTCAAAGATTCCTTCATCGGAGGCGCAGTTGAAACTGAGATCGGTGTTTTTACTTATTGTTACTCAATTGGAGAAAGAAGTTTTTGGTCGGCTCTTGATGCTACAGAGTTGTACCATTACGTGAGAGATGGAACTTGGTGTGACCAAGAGAGTTTCTGTTTCAATAAGGAGTGTCTTCATATCTCAATGTATCCAGGGATCACAGAGTGTCCTTTGTAAGTGCATGTATCATGCATGTAAGTGCAACCCCCCCCCCCCCCCCTACCTACACAAATAGACCGAGTGCTAGGCGAAATGCTCTATTCTGATTAGCTAAAAATTCGAATTTTGAACCAAGTAACCTTCTCCCCCCTAAGCTGTTTTATTGGGGAGGATGATAACTTGGTTCAAACTTACTGTTCCCAGTTTCCTAACTAAAGTAACGGAATATTTGTGCTCGGGTGGTTTTTTTTCTTCAGACAAATTTTGACTTTTTAACTAGCCATTTTTGAGGTAATATCATTCAAAAGGTATTGTGTTTTGATTTTAAATTTAAAACGATTTTTCACCTGTGATCATTTTTGTAAAGTTATGGGGGTCTAGAAATTGCCATTTTGGCCAATTTGTGACAATTAAGCGCGATATATTTCGCGCTATTAACGCGTAAGCAGAGATTTAATCCAACTTAGAAATCGTTCCAAGTTGGTTGAAGGAAGGTTATTTGCCACACTTGGATTATTACTAGGAGCAAAACCTATCACTTTGTACATTATATGGCGTGTGGGAGGATGATTTTCACAAAAAAAATTCAAATAAAAAAAAATCATTTTATTTTATTATATTTACTTTTTTCATGCTGTTACTGGTTACGTAGCATTATTTAGACAACCGCGTATTCCGGCACTGTATTAACCAATCAGAATCAAGACAAGGAAGAAGTGAATTTCATTTCTTCCTTGTCTCGATTCTGATTGGTTAATACAGCGTCTGAATCCGCGGTTGTCTAAATACAGGCCGCACTCCGTTGTTACTGCTCCAGTTTCCTTGAAAGCAGTTTGAACATTCAAAGCTTCGCCCTGATACAAGCAGTTTTGATTATAAATTAACCATTAGCACTCGTGCTGAATGTAAGCGCAGCGAGACAAACTACAAAATTTGCTCATTGCCTCGCTTCAAATTGGTGACCACTCTCCACTCTACTAGCATAAAAATTTGAAAAGCTGAAAATTTATCGACTAACATAGTTTTGATAGCTTTATTTCTCAGAAACACATTAACAATCGTTTCAAATTGAAACTTGCATTTCTGAAAAAAATGAAAACTTAATTACCTTAAAAAAATTGGATAAATTATGCAACTAACAAGCAATTGAAAATTCTTAAATTTAAGAAAAGTTGTGATCAGTCGTAACCCGACCCCGTAATGGCTTGAATCGAGCTGCACAAAATGTGAAATGCGTAAAAAAACTGTGATCTTTGTTTTTTTTTTGTGTTATAATCAGGGGGGATCTAGGATTTTCTAAAGTTGTGTGGGAGGTGGGTTTTCAAAAAATTTGTGGAATATTTTTTTATGCTGAACAAATCGATTTTCGAGCTCTCGTAAATCACAATACAGACCTTATTTAGACCAAACTTTTTGCGCCGCATGAACATTTTTGAAAGAACATGTCAAAAATTGGCGTTCTTTTAACGCTTCCCCCCTCTCCCCTTAAATATAGTATATATTGGCGCCAAAGGTGCTTCTAAGAAAACTTCAGAAATTAAGGTCAGGAATGGAGGTTGCCGAAAATGAGGTTAAAATTAACACCAAAAAGAAGCCCATTGGTTGGTGAGGGGGTGAAACCCCTGATGTAAATGCGTCCGCGTATAGGGTTGGCATTTCGTTGTTAGGTACCCTAGGGGGGAATAGTTACAGAGATCAAATCTAACTTACATAAATTGATTTTTATGCTAATCGATACGATTTTCAGCTTCGAACTTTTATGCTAGTCGAGCCTTATGCTAGTCCATACAACGCCTTCAAATTAGTTACCTAGCCTCGCAGGTTGTCGATTTTTCCGGGGAGATCGGCCCATTAGCAGGTGTGTCGACTGGCATGCCTATGTGAAAGATTGTTGTTTTAGGATTCGCAATTTCACGTTTCGCTTTCTAAAGTTTGCTATTTTGAGCAGCATGCATTTTGCCGAATCTTTAATTAGGCAAAAGTGAAATTTTACCTCCCCAAACAAATCGTGTGGTTATGTCAAAATTATTTGAAAACCTGGACTAATTTGCTTTTCGTCTGAAAGCACACCCAGTTAAAACAACTATCGCATGCTAATATTTATCTATGCTAATCACTACGCCACCAATTTTCCGAATGTTGTTGTTTCTTGTGAGTTGTTTGTTTCTTGCATATTTCTGTTTGATTCTGTTTGATACGATTTTCTTTGTTAAAACTTTTATGCTAGTCGATACACCGCCGTCGCATTAGCAGGCAAATGGATTACCAAATGAAAAAGTTTAAAATCGTGATGAGAAAGTGAAAGATCCAAAATTTTCGACTCGCATTGCAAGTCAGTTCTGTTGAAGTATAGTTCCGCTAAAACTACAGGAATACATCATCAGAACATATACAAATCACTTAATTCTGATCAGATATAAAAATATGAGATAAAATGTCACGGCTTTTTCACAGTTCTGAGGAACTAAGAACAGCTCTGAAATTGATCAAAAACAGGGTTGAACTGAACCCATTAATTTTTGTTCCCAAACTAGCCATTTGTTCCCTCTAAACTAAGCGTTTAAAACTTGGTGCTTGGTTATGCATACGAAATATCATGTTATGCGTTGAAAAAAGAATACTACTGGTTATGCGTTACAAAATGCCCCCATTAAATGCGCTACTGGGTAGAGTCGTTAAACAGTTTCATCGCGGTTAACATGTCCGTTGAGGACCTCCACGAAAATGGTCACATTTATGGCCGAGAACTCCTTGGCCAGAGTCAACAAGAAGAGGATGAAGGCAGCAGTAGCTGCCCACTCGGCCCCACTGCACGTGTAATAGAGTGTCTCTTCGTCTTCTTCTGGTTCGTAGAGATAAGTGTAGCCTTCAAAGAGGAACAGCATCGAGGTGACAAGAAACCCAACGCCACTCACAATCATGAGGAACAAGCGGAAGACAAAGAGCACTTTGTTCTTCGGGAAGTGTCCTTCTGATGCGAGCTTCTGGCTCAAATAGAGTTGCAGGAAGCAGTAGAAGGGTGCGAGTCCCAGAGCCATGCAGAAGCCAATTATGTGAACATTGAAGTTGACGCTCTCTTGGAAACTGGCGATCAAATTTAGTCCGATGGTTCCGATGATCGCGAGGAGCAGGGACAAGACGTTTGCCCATTGGATCCCGCTCTTGTTGTGTCCCAGGATGCCTCGTACGTGGGAGAAGCGAATGAAGGCAGTCATCATGAAGCAGAAAGCGAAGGAGACGATGAGAAATGTGAAATAAGTGCTGGCAGGTGCTCTAGAACCAGCATCGCTGATGAAGGGTAATTTGGACGACAACTGGTCATATTTGTACCCAACGGAGTATGGTACAATCATAGCCAGAACCCCAAAAGTCGCAGTCACTACTGGGAACCAAGCCAGTCCGGAGAATAAACAGAATGTCATTTTGAACCAAGCTGAGAAAGATATCGAGTTTTTCTTTTGATTTTTGATCGGTGACCGAGCGATAAAGCAGTGAGTGAAAGTTCTAAAATCTCTTGGTAAATTTTCTACAAACATCAAAAGACATCTGTCAAAGAAAAAGAACGTATAGTCAATGTTCAACAGTTCAACGGGCCATGAGATGAACGAAAACGTTTTTGTAATAAAATCAAGCGTGCATATTACTGTTTAAAATTATTTAAATGGGTGTGCATTTTTCGTTAACGTTATTATGCTAATATTGATAAAAGAAATTAATTTGGCAGCTTTCAACAATAAGAATTCGATGCAAATTTTTGGGTTCTTTGCAAATTCTGTAATAGTAGGGACTGAGTTAGCCATCAAAGGTTTTTTTGTCATCTATTTTTGTTCCGACGTTTGAAGAAAATCAGGAATAGTAAAGCTTGCGGTGTTTTTTTTATCCTGTCACTTTTCAAATTTTTTTTTAGTCTTCTCAACCTCGCGTTTGACCGAAGTTTGTTGATATCATCAAATAGATACAATTTTTGGAGCTGAAAAGTGAAAATAGTTAACATGTGACCATTTACTTAAATTTATGGGGTTTCGAAAAAAGCTAATTTGACCATCTTGAGATAAATAACGCGCATTGCGTTCTGACAACACGCGCAAACCGCGGTTTAAATGTTTCAAATTGGCAACAAAACATCTGCTAAAGTTATTAGGACAAGGGTCACTTAATATATCACTTTTTTCTCGTGTGAAAAGACAAAATGAAAAAAAAATCAAAAAAAAAACATTGAAAATTATCAACATATAAAAACAAGACTTCTCGTATCCAACCTTTCTGACCACCCGTTCTGACCACCCTTTTAAGGTCTATGGAGCTCTAATAACATGAAAAAATTAAATGCATGAAAACGAAAAAAAAACAGTTTTCAAAACTGGAGATTTTTTTGTGAAAATCATCCCTCCTCCCCCTCCCCCTCCCCCACCACACACGCTATATAAAAAACGCAAAGTGATAGATTTCGCTCCTATTAACATTTCATTGATGGCACATAAGCTTCCTTCAACCAATTTGGAACCATTTCTAAGACGGATTAAATCTCCGCTTATTCGTTCATAGCGCGAAATTTATTGCGCGTTAACTGTCCCAAATTGACCAAAATGGCAATCTTTTAACCCCCATGATTTTACAAAAATTGATCACAGGTGAAATATCTTTTCAAACTTAGGCTCAGGAAAACAATACTTTTTGAATGATATATAAAAATTTGTCTCAAAAATTGCTGGTTGAAAAGTCGAAATTTGTCTGAAGAAAACAACCTACCCGCGCACAAATATTCCGTTACTTCGTTACGAAAGTAGGATTACTAAAAACTGACTGTTTCTGGTCTATTTTACAGTTTTTGTTGAACTCCCTTTTTTTGGAGCCCCCTGATTTTGTTCGGGTCGTCAACCGCGCAAAGCTTTTAAATAACTTTAATTCATCGATTCTGGCGCACAAGTTAAATTTTTATAGAAAATTTTCCAAAAAGCATGCTATCTAAATTCAGATTACCCGGTTTTCCCCCATGACGAACACTATAGCTACCTAACTAATTATTACAGCGCATTTTTTATGTAGGATATAAGCCATAACAAAAAAAAGCCTTTCTGAGTTGCTAATCTATAGGATCTTAAATGTAAAAAATTCTTTCTGTAAAATGAGCATTTCGTTTGCGTGGCTACCAATAATCTCGATATGACATATCACAAGAAAAAATTCCTTTCCCAATTCAAAACAACTAGGAAATTTTGTTGCTTCACAAACCAATATAGTTTTGATTGAGTGCACTGAATTCATTGTAACAATTTTATTTAATTTGGCACAAAAGTTCAGCTTTACGTCTTAAAAATATAATATATAACATATTTAGTTTCTTATAATCAAATGATTTTAAAACAATTTGGATTCCAGCTAATAAAAAAATTTTTCTTGAAAACTGAGAACCATCAACATCTTGTCCTCAAACTAGTTCTGGAACACAAATTTTCGGTAAGTTTGTTATTTGCAGCACGGTATTTTGCGTCAGCCTCCTCCTGGCCTATGTTGATTTTTTTACCGCATTACCTCAAAAAACCGAGTTACCTCAAAAAATGATTTTAATTTTTTTAGTGTGGTATCATACTAAAATTTTTTCTGTCGCGACTCGGATTTCAAAAATAAACCCGTTAAATCTTATTACAAAAATATATATCAATGACGACGCAAAGTGTTTCCGTTTTTAAACTGTTTTTAGAGGGAGCGATAGGTGCTAACCAAGGAGCGAAAAATTAAGTGAACAGTTTTAATTTAGTTTTCCTACTTTTTCTGCTGATAATTAAGTTAGGAAAATTTTGGCTCTCAATTTTCACCAGAAACAGCAAAAGTAGATAAAAACAAAAAACTAATTTGAGATGAAAAAAATTTGCCCCATTTAGAATTGTGAATTAAGATCTGGAGACTGTCAGAAAACTCTAACGAAAATATTTAAAAACTCTTGGTTATGATCAAAAAAGCATTTTTTAACCGTAAACTGACTTTCTTTGATCCCTGCTACTAACCCTTGCTTGAAGAGTAATAATCTTCTTAGACTATAGTTTTCTTTTTTGAAAATCGATAAAACGATAAGAAGTTCCCGGAACCTTATACTTTTGGTTAAACATTCATCTCACCCCAGAGCTAAAGTTCAAGTATAATTTTTTTTAAAAGGTCAGAAAAAATTAATGTTTTTTCTTCATTTTATGTATAATTGGTTTCATCGATTTTGGAGCTTGGAACTTTCTGTATTACTTGCTCAGCCTCCTTTCGTGTTCTTTTGGAATATAATTTGTATGATGCATCACTTCGGCCATCGGACGTTGCATTATGTTTTAACCCTCTTGCACACGCAAAAATATCGGAATACTTATTTTAAGGAATTTTTGCATAAAAAACGACAGTTGGAGTTCTCTGTTGTTCTCAAACCTATAATTTTTTGTTTCAGCTTTCGAAGATATATCAAAGGGGGTGATATATCAGCTTGGGGTGGTTTTTTTGTTCATTCATTGTTGGAATTTTTAACTAACTGTTTTTGAAGGAGATTTTTTATAGCGTCATAAAGAAAAGATATTGTTGCCTGGAGTTAAAAAAATAGTTCACCTGTGATCAATTTTGGCAAATTTATAATGGTTTGAACATGAGACTACTTTGACGACTACAATTCAAATTGGCATAATTAAGTTGCAATTGAATTAAAACATTTTCAATTGAACTAAAGCAATAAATTTGCTCTTAGTCTTGCGTTTCGAAACGCAAAGTGTATCACTTGGTACTTTATATAGCTTCTGAGAGGTCAAATCAGGAAACATTATTTTAATTTTTAAAATTTTCGTATTATAGAGGAGTTTTTTCAGACCAAAAGGTGATGATCGACAAAAGAGGGCAATCGGATTTTTCGGGACTTTGCCTGATATACGAGCAGTCTTGGCTAGATTTCAACTGGCTTTTTTCGAAGCCAAATATTATCTTTTTTATCTTGGAAACTGTCAACCTGTTAAAACCAAAATGGTGATAATGAGAGGACCTTGTATGTTAGATGTCCAATGTTTTTCAAAACCCGTGCTTTTCAGAAGCAGTTTTCGCAATAAAGAGTTTGATGATGAAAAATAGCGAACATAGAACTTGGAGAATTGGAAAATTTCCATCGAGCAACGGGAAATTATTTTGCTATAAGCTACTTAGTTTTCTCGATAAAAAAAACAATAGTTGAGCTTGTTTGATTTTCCTGAAGTCGTTAATTTGGTTTTCACAAAATTATTTAAAATTTAGAAATGTAATCTCGCACAGCCTCCAGCTATTTTTTAAATTATAATAAGTATGATGCCCCACTTTGGCTGGTCGGACGTTTCTTCCGAGATTGATTTCTCTCATTAACTCATGCTGTTGCGCATCGGTAGTTCATATGATTGCGGGTTCAACTCGCATCTGCGCTCGAATTTACAAGGTGAGCTCTTGTAAAATAATCATAGCATACCTAACCTTAACCAATTAACCTTCGGGTTAGGCTGGTTAACTGAAAAAATGATCAAAATTGAAAATGTTAACACTTTTTCACTTCTTGGATGTTCCTTAATAACTGTTTTTGTCTGTTCAGCAACTGTTTCGGACGTGGAAACTGCAATGGTACGAACCAATGCGAGTGTGACGAGGGATTCGACACACCTCACTGCGAATCACTGGCTCCTTCAGCCTCTCATTTCGGAGCAATGGCAACCATCGCCATGCTCTGGCTGGGACGCTGCATTCTGGAATGATAACTTGAACTTATTTGTTGATATATCGAACCCCTTTTAGATTTACTTATTTCAAATTTCAATTGATTTGGACATATCCCCCATTTATGCTAAACAAATGATGTTTCTTATTCCATGATGGTCGTTTCTCGTGGAGTAAGATGGGTATTGCTTAAACTGCAGACTGGAATGTAAGAAACAGCTTCGCATTGATATAATTTCTTTAAAAAACAGTATACTCTAAGAGTTCATGTTGGAGAAAACACAAACTGTAAACTGGTTCGCATTGATAAAAAGAAAGTGATCCAAAATACCATCCAAAAGATTGATATTGCCCTCGTTAAACATTCACTGAAGGTATGAAACTACGGAATTAGATCCAGTTATCATCCTCCAGGTTACATTCAGTTATCCCTGATTTATATTCCAAGACATCTCACTCTCTGCTATTGACATTACAAATTTTTTCCTTGCAATGTTTGCATTAAAAATAAGAGCAATCTGTTGAAATTTAAACTTTTGAAACTAAGCTAAACTGGCTCTTTTTCCTTCCCCCCCCCCCCCCACCTCACGCCAGTTTCAACTTATTAGTGTAACGATTGGTTTTACGAGGTTGAGTATGAAGACCAAATATGTTTTTTATGTGGCCTTATTGGTCTGTATGTAAATTTTCATAACAATCGGACAATGTGGTCAATAAATTTACATGTAAAAAATTGTAGGTGGGGGGGGGGGAAGGAAAAAGAGCCGCTAAACTTGCTGAAAAATACAAACAAAAATGTTTAAATTAAATGCAAAAAGTGTACTAGTTTAAATTTAGGCCAAACTTGTTATAAAAATTTCTTCAAAAATCTGATGTACACAATTCTTTTTGGGTTAGCAAGTAGACTAAGGTTGATTCAAGAATCAAAAGGGTTCCCATGAGCTGTAAATTCAATAATATCGATTATTAAAATCATAGGTGCTCATAGTAGTGTTGTTTAAGGAGGGGAAAAACCTTCCATTATTGCAAAAACTGGCTCTTTTCCAGTCCCCCCCTTTTAAATTTATTTTTGAAAAGCTTATTTAACGTTGTCATAATGCAATGAAATTTGGCGTGGTGAACAAATCGACAACTGTGAACAGATTTGTTCTTCATATTTTACAGCGTAACATCACGCATTTAGCCGTAATAACACGTAAATCAAACATAAAACTCGGTATTTTGAAAAGGGGGGAACTGGAAAAGAGCCCAAAAACTTGCAGACAAAAACTTCCGTAAAATTATCTAGATGTATAAAAATCCAATGGTTGCACCAAGGGTTTTCGTGTCAGATGTCGCTGTTTTGTCTTGATATATTCTGTTTCTGTACATAAAATTCGAATCCAAATGAAAGTTCATTTCATCTTGGAAAATGTCAGACTACTAAAAAGAAAAAAATGATTAAGAAAATCAAGTTGGTTATCGAACCGTATAAATCATAGTCAAAACAGCTTTCAATGATGCAAAGAAGAGGGCACAAAACTAGAAGCTTTTGAAAACTTTTAATCTAACGAATTTCAATGAATTTTTTCATGATTTGCACTGCTATGTTAAGTTTTTATAACGGCAGTGAAGCAGGGCTTTCGACTCAAGGCCTTGCGTCATTCTTTAGTGTAGTTTTTTTGTTTTTAGGCGAGCCGCACTGATTAAAGTATTATTTCAACGTGTGTTTTACCTTACTGAATCGACTCATTAACTAGCAATTTTTGACGTTTTTTTGATATCATCTGAAAAACATTTTTATCTTGAGCTCACATTCAGAAAAATATTTGAATTGTTATTTTTTGGGAAGTAAAGGATACAAATTTGTCAATTTGGATCCATTCAGGCTCGCTATATTTCGTGCTATTAACGCGTACGCGGAGATTTAATATGTCGTATAAACCGGTTACATGTCAATTTGCCCCAAATTAACTTGTCCCAGTCCAACTTGTCCGATTCCAACTTGCCCCAGATGACAACTTGTCCAATGCCATCTTGGGCTCTTTTTCCTTTTCCCCCCACCTGCAAATTTTTATATCTGAAGTTACTGTTCACTTTGTCCGATTGTCATAAAAAATGACATGCAGACTAATAAGGCCTGATAAACATATTTGGTCTTAATAATTAACCTCGTAAAACTACTCGTTAGACCATAAAGTTCATGTTTGAGTGAGGTGGGGGGAAAAGGAAAAAGAGCCCCATCTGGTCCCAGATAATAAAAAAAGGAAACTTGCCCCAGATTTTTTGATATCCTCGTAGAACATAATGTCATGGCATAAAGATGAAAGATATTTTTGTTGAACAATTAAGCTTGAAACAAAATGCTGAATCATTAAAACATGTGCTGAATCAAAATGAGTTCAAAGCATGCATGAACAAAATGAAAGCGGCAAAACTTCAATGCAATTTTCATGTCGAGTTAAACATTTCAAAAGAAAGATTGCTGGCTCTTTTCCAGTTTCCCCCCTTTGTTAAATTACAAAAAGAGATGATCAAAAATTGTCCACACGGCAATTTTCATGTTAGAAATGTTGTGAAAATTTGTTCAGCTGTCCACACTGACATGTTTTAATGCAGTTTTTAACATTAAAAATTATTTTAAAAATACTTTCATGTATTGAATTTCAGAAAAAAAGAAAGGGAGGGGGAACTGGAAAAGAGCCAGATTGCTGATCTTGTAAGCTCCTATAGCATAGTTAATAGTGCACAACACTCATAATCAAGAAGTCAAGAGTTCAAAACTTGAAGAAGTCAAAAGTTTTAGTATGAAATTGATGAAATGGAAATCCGCAGGTACTGCCTCGCCCCTAAAACCCCCAAACTGGGTAACCTAGAATAGGGGGCGGGGTGAGGGAAAGAGCAAAACTATTGCAGTATTGGCCTTTATCACCTCTCAAAATTTGGACCCTGTACGAAGGCTATAAGTTAAAAAAAAGTGGTGATTTTTCAAAAATCAATTAAAAATGCAACAAAATGCCGACAATTAAGTGGAAATTATGCCGACAATTTAAAACTTACGAAAGAGTTAAATGAGCTATTGCATATAAATAGTCAACAACATGGTCTTTGTTGAAGTTACTAGAAAAGTTTTGGGTTTTTGCATGAACATCCCGATATTTCTTCCGCCCAAGATTCTGCGTTCCCCCCATAGCCTTCAAAATGTTGAATTTCTGATTAGTTGAGTCCATTTGAACGATTGTTCCACTAAATCAGTTGGAACAAAACTGAGAGCGGGTATTAAACGCAGAGCCAAGCTCAGCACGCAGTTGTTTTCATAGGCTTTCTTCAAACATAGCTCGTTAACTTTGCGTAAAAAGGCCTGGCAGAGGTGAAAGCAACAGCCTTTGATTGAAGACTCTGGAAACGCACTTGTAAAAGCGTTTACGGCAACTCGTTCAAAATCTAGAAGAATCCTCGATGGTTGCGCGTTATCAAAGACAGAGGCGATGGCTTTCAGTAATTTTGAATACGTCTGTTCGGTTTTGTTTGGCAGTAGAGCATAAAGGCATGGTGGGTAAAATCCACCAATTTGAATGTAGATGGTATAAAGCTGCTAAAATTGCATTGGGCAAGTTTTAAATGTACCGTCGGAATAATGAAGTGACTTTCTTCAATGATTGGCAAGGACGGGACCAAGTTCTATTTCTGGCGATTAAGAGTTCTGTTTAATGCTGGACGACTGGGCAAGGATAATTGAACTGCTTTCTCATCTGTTACTTCCTGGAGACAAGTGATAATTATACTACTATTGACAGGTACAATTTGCTGCCTGGCCTCTCTTTTCTTTTGATGCATGATCTGGTTTGCCTCAACTTTCCCAGGTCTAACATCGTGTTTGTGTTCATTTTTTGTTGATACGAGTTCATCTCCTGCTGTGACGGCGAGCATACGGCATTTGTGTGAACTGTATCTTGCGCATCTCCAGTGCTCAGTAGTTTCAATTTAAAGTTAGGCATGCTATTTGGGCGTTTTAAAATTTTGATTTCTGCAAAACATATCACTTTGTTCTTTAAGCATGTGCGGGGTCAATTTTAAATCTAACAAAAATTATTACTTTTTTTGAACAAAAAAAAAACATTTCATCAAACTTTCTAAGGAAACACTACTCCATGTACCATAAACTGCAGTCGGAACATTAGCGCATTGGCTCTGGTTCGAAAAACATTCAGGGCTTGGCTCTGATACAAGAATCTTGCGGAAACTTGCAGTGTTCGAGAAGAAGACAAATTTTGAGATGCAACATAAGTTTATCTGGTATAAAATACATGTACAAAAGATGAACCGATAGATACACATTTGCAAAATATCCGCAGTGTTCACTGATTATTTTTGTTTTATTTGATTGTTTTAGAATATATATTGCAACAATGTTTCGAATATTGCATTAAGGATTCAAATACTGATTTAGTGTTTCAAATAAAGTCCCAATTTTCAAATATTGCACCAGTTTTTCAAATAAAAAACAGTGTTCTGTGTGTGTTTGTCCCATATTTGCATATTAGTGCAAAGTTTGAAAAAGCAGGGTAACAATAAAGACAACAAGACTGCTCGTATCAGGGCGAAGTCCTGAAAGTTTTGACTGCCTTTTAAGGTTTATGAGGCAGTAATAACATTAAAAAGTTAAATGTGAAAAAATAAAATGAAATTTTTTTTTTAAAATTTGAATTTTTTAATGAAAATCATCCCCCCACACGCCAAATAAAGTACAAAGGATAAATTTCGCTCCTTTTAACAAACTAAATATGGCAAACAGGCTTCTTTCAACCAATTTGGAACGATTTCTAAGACGGATTAACTCTCCGCTTACGCGTTAATAGCGCGAAATATATCGCGCGTTAATTGTCCCAAATTGGCCAAAATGCCAATCTTTTAACCCCCATAACTTTACGAAAAATGATCACAGGTAAAATATCTTTTCAAATTTAAGCTCAGGACAACAATACCTTTCGAATGATATTTAAAAATTCCATCAAAAATGGCTAGTTAAAAAGTCGAAATTTGTCTGAAGAAAAAAAAACCCACCCCGAGCACAAATATTCCGTTACTTTCGTATCGAAAGTCGGAACAATAAACAAAATTGAAATGCTATAACAAAATTCAAAACAAAAACGCAACATCGTTCCTAGACCAACCATACAAAATGAATTAGAAAGAAAGACCTTGTGTTAGCGGGCGAATTTTAGTTTTCGA